AACAACAATGCTCCCAGTAGCCAGCATCGAGACATCGAGAAACGTATAGCAAGCTTTTTCTAGGAGATTTCAGAAGGGACGTTCCGGCCCCGGGAAACGCCTATTTTGGACTCCGTTCGTCCTTCAGGGCCATGGTGTTTCCCCGTCCGGGAGGGCCGTGTCTTTGTGGGCACAGCAGCAGCAGCAGCAGTCGCTGTCGCCCTTCAGTCGCATGGGGTTTCCGTGCCGGAAGCCGCCTTTTTGAAGGGTCAGCTGCACCAGCAGCAGCAGCAGCAGCAGCTCCCAGTAGCCAGCATCGAGAAACGTATAGCAAGCTTTTTCTAAGAGATTTCAGAAGGGACGTTCCGGCCCCGGGAAACGCCTATTTTGGACTCCATTCGTCCTTCAGGGCCATGGTGTTTCCCCGTCCGGGAGGGCCGTGTCTTTCCGGCGTCCTTCAGTAGCATGGGGTTTCCTTGCCGGAAGCCGCCTTTTTGAAGGGTCAGCTGCACCAGCAGCAGCAGCAGCAGCTAGCAAGCTTTTTCTAGGAGATTTCAGAAGGGACGTTCCGGCCTCGGGAAACGCATATTTTGGACTCCGTTCGTCCTTCAGGGCCATGGTGTTTCCCCGTCCGGGAGGGCCGTGTCTTTGTGGGCACAGCAGCAGCAGCAGCAGCAGTCGCTGTCGCTCTTCAGTAGCATGGGGTTTCCTTACCGGAAGCCGCCTTTTTGAAGGGTCAGCTGCACCAGAAGCAGCAGCAGCAGCAGCAGCTCCCAGTACCCAGCATCGAGAAACGTATAGCAAGCTTTTTCTAGGAAATTTCAGAAGGGAGGTTCCGGCCCCGGGAAACGCCTATTTTGGACTCCATTCGTCCTTCAGGGCCATGGTGTTTCCCCGTCCGGGAGGGCTGTGTCTTTGTGGGCACAGCAGCAGCAGCAGCAGCAGCTCCCAGTAGCCAGCATCGAGACATCGAGAAACGTATAGCAAGCTTTTTCTAGGAGATTTCAGAAGGGACGTTCCGGCCCCGGGAAACGCCTATTTTGGACTCCATTCGTTCTTCAGGGCCATGGTGTTTCCCCGTCCGGGAGGGCCGTGTCTTTCCAGCGTCCTTCAGTAGCATGGGGTTTCCTTGCCGGAAGCCGCCTTTTTGAAGGGTCAGCTGCACCAGCAGCAGCAGCAGCAGCTAGCAAGCTTTTTCTAGGAGATTTCAGAAGGGACGTTCCGGCCTCGGGAAACGCATATTTTGGACTCCGTTCGTCCTTCAGGGCCATGGTGTTTCCCCGTCCGGGAGGGCCGTGTCT